GCAGCGGGGCCCGGGGGGGCAGCCGGGGTTCCGCTCGGCGCGGCGCTGAGGGTGGGTGGGGCGGGCGGCCTGCCGGGGGAGGAGGCCGCGGGTCCGAGGGAAGCGCGGCGGGGAGGGACCCCGGGCGCGGGGACCCCGCGGCGGCGGCAGGAGAACATCCGCCGCCTGCCTCTCCGCCCCGGCGGGGGCCAGAGCCTGGGAAAGGGACGGCCCCGGCGGGCGGGCTGCGGAGCGGGCTGTGCTGGGACCCTTGTTTTGTCTGTGCCGAAAGCACCCGCGCTTAATGAGCAGTGGTTTAAATAGTGCTGCGCCTCCTTGAGTACTTTCCAAATGTCCGTCCTTTCCTGGATGTGAGAAACAGCTCTGTCCCCGTGAGGGGGCTGAGCAGTGGAGCAGGTAACTCACAGAGGCCGCCGGGCTCCATCCATGGAGGTGTTAAAGACCGGACTCTGCTTTGAGCTCTTGAGGTCCCTTCAAACCCTGAATTACTCTAGGATCCTCTATATTTTTTTTTTTTCTAAAAAGCTTTATGTTGATCTAGCATGTATTTTATAATAATTTACCTAATTTCTACCATTAATGCAAAGCAGGGATTCATTGTTTGTAAGTGCATAAGTGTGAACATTTACCGTGCATTGATCTACAAAACTGCAACCTGTCACCACCCCAGATTCCTTCACAAACCATTCAAAGCCTGTCTACACTGCTCTCTTCTAGACTGATACCTACTCTTCTTGGTTCACTCTAAGTTCAATCTAAGCATCCAGTATATATATATATATATTTTCAGTATATATAATTCTTTATAGCCTATTAAATTTCCTGTTATGAGGATGGTAGTGGTCAGCAGTCATAGTGTTGCCCTCTTTACTGAAAGATTTTGTGAACAATCCAGCATGAGTAAAAGTTTGAGTTTGCTAATTCTCAAAAAGTGATATTTGAGTCTCAAAACACACATTCAGAAATTCACATGAGGGATAAATCAAGCAGTTGACCCTTGTATGTATTTCCTATAGAAGATTTGCATAGAAGTCTCATTAAATAATGAAACTTACAGCAGCCCTTGACTCTGTATATTCAGGTGTCTGCAGGTGCTGGCAAGCAGGATCACGGGTAACTTTGACATTAGGTCACTTCCTTATTGCTGTTCTAACACTTGGTGGTGAGAGGCTGCTGCTGGCAGTGAGAGCAAGCATCTTATCTGAGCTGGCTGGGCTTTTTTTCCTTAATCTCCCAATTGCTTTACAATCCCCACAGCAATCTGGTTATGTGAAAAGTTGCAGTGGGGTCTTGCACATTAGAACATGCACTAGATCCAACAAGAGCATTGAGAGAACTCTGAATTCTAGAAAGCAGTTACATACCTGAAATGTAAATACTGTCCTCTATGGACTTGGAAATCCATCAAGTCATAACTCAGATCTTCTTGTTTTCTACGGAACACCGTGACATTCAAATTCATTCATGTTATTTCATATGTTTTATTTTGCATAGGGCTCTTTTACAAGGGCTCTAAATACCCCTGCCAAGTGAGTTTTGGCAAATAAACTTTTCCTTTCTTTTACAATATTCTGTTTCTGGTGATCCTCACTAACAACAGGGAAGAACTGACTATGATCCCAGGCATTTTTAGAAAATGTAAAGCTTCTTTTATGTGAATGTAACAACCATTCCTATGCCAGATTTTAGAAGAGCACAATTTACTATCAGAATATTTTTAAAGTTCTGTAGTAGTATAAATTACAGTATTTTAAGGGACTGCATTACTCACAAGGCAATTTTGTTTAACAGCAGGATTACACATTTAAGTAAAAGTAAGTCATGGTTATTTTTCCAGTTTGTACTTTGGAAATATTCTTTGACATCCCAAACAATTGTAACAACACTTCACGTTGCTTGCTGCTTCTAGCTAAGCTGAAGCATTAACGAAGAAAACCCTGATCCTTCAGAGATTTGCTTATTGTGACTGGACCCACTAAACTCAGTGAAACTACTCATAGAGCTCAGACACAGGCAGTTGTGTCACTCCTGTGGAGCAGAGGTTTAGTTTGCAGTCACTTTTCCAGGACATGGAAAGGTCGGCACACAAAACATCTGTGACTTACCTACACTTCCAGTGCTTTTAGGGTTACTGGGAAAAATCACTTGTTCTGTTGTGGGGCTTGAGACAGCATTTCTGAAGTCACAAGGTGTGTGAAGGCAAAATCATCAGCCTTGGGGTTCTGACACAAGCAGCACATTAGGCAATTGGTTTTGCCTTGGATGTGTGAAATAACACTAAAGAGCAAGTTATCAGTAAACAGGTTCTGTTAAATAACATAAGTGTGCATAGAGGAAATTACATCATACTCTGTTATTTTATGATGTAATAATGTAACAATAGTCCATCTCAGAAGCAGGAAAAAAACAATCTAAAAGCAAGGGTACACTGTCTTGAGACAAAGGATTTACCTCTGGAAAATATTCAACCTTACCTGGCAGCTAGAAAGAGAATCTACCACTAAAGTTTTCTAAACAAACCATATATTTTCTTAAACAATGGGCTACAAGGAAGATTCTAGGGCTCTCATACAGCTGTACAATAGTTATGTTGGTCTGTTATGTAGGAGATTGGACTGCATGATCATAACAGTATTTTCTCTCTGGAAAAACAAACAAACAAACAAAAAAAACCCAAAACCCAAAACAAAAAACCCTCCCCCCCCCAAAAAAAAAAAAACCCACAAAAAAAAAAAAAAAAAAAAGAGAAAAAAGAAGAAGCCCAATCAAAAGTAATTTAACAATGCTCATGCAGGTACTTTTTGAATCATGCTATACTTAGGAAGAGGTGAAAGCAGCTGTCCAAATGTTCTCATTTTCAGTTTGAGCAGTTTTAACCATGTTACCAGCAGCTATTTGCCAGAGTATTGCAGAGATCAGCAGTTCTCCCTTCCACAGTGGTACTTCCAAATGGTTATGAAAACACCCCAGGAAGTTCAAGATCCACTGAATGATTTCTTTGTTTGACTGCTGCGGCTCCTTGCCCCTGCAGAGCGGGTGACAGCGCATGTGGTGTTGGTGATAACTGGGCAACCAGTTTGGGCAAAGGTGAGGTGTGGGGCTGGCCCTGTGGACTCCAGCACAGCCACACACCTATTCCACAAGGACTCTGCCTACAGAAGAGGCCTGAAGGCAGAGATAAGGCATTGGTGCAAGCAGCAGCTGTAGCAAAGTAGGTGTTGGAAGAGGTAGGTGAAGGCCTGGAAATGGTACTGTGTACTTGCTTCCTCCCCCAAAATACCAGGGTGCTTATTCAAAGTCAATTAACACACTCAGCTGGAGAAAAACACTTACATAAAAGTTCATGATTTTTTTTTCCTCCCTTAATTATATAAAGAGTGATTTCAAAATGAAATTATGCTGCAAACTTCTGCTGAAGCAGCACTGCGTGGTAGGTCTCTGACACATGAAAGAACAACTCACACTCCAAATAATGCTTGAGAAGTTAAAGCAAATACATTCATAAGAACTAAGAGATTTAAGCTGCCATTTTTGTCTATTTAGTGGGATTGCTGTCAAACGAAATTGCATGAATCATTTTCCTCATGCAGTGTGAGTGATCTGTAATGCAGTCACAATGTCAGCAGCCAGAAATGGCTGACAGTTTGGAGCTTGTATGACTGCAAACATTGATATGGGCAGACCACTGCCCCACATCAGGTCTGTTGCATCCTTGTTACTGTTCCAGTGACGTATCCATCGCAATGTTAACCTTTCAAAAATCCTCTTTCCCTTGCTTTCATGTGAAAGTTGGATTTTGCATTAATAGCAAAAACCACTCTGGAGAGCAATTTCTTACACCAGTTCTATCTAAACATCAGTGATTCTGATCATTAACTCCTTCCCTAAGTGTGTTTTCTTACAGTTGTTGTGTCTCCACAGGACTGACTTCCATGATGCTGAGAGGAGTTGCTCACGGTGCAAAAGACACATTCACTCTTCTGTTGACAAGATCGCCGAGCTGTAACCCAGGCCTGAAGTTTTCATCAGCGTGGCCTGATGTAGCAAACAGAGGCTTCCTGATACATTCCAGTTACACAACTGATACCAAGTCAAGAGGGGAAAACAAAAAAACCCTCGAGAATCTCTACAGTTTGTCAGTTGACATCACGAAGATACGCAGACTGAAGGAATGGGTCCTTCTCCAGGACGTGGCCTATGTTAAAGAAATTGCTGGTATCTTACAGGAGATGGGAGCAGATGAGACCACTGTAGCCAGCATTATAGAACGCTGCCCCGAGGCAGTTCTCCACACCCCAGCAGAGATAAATTCTCAAAGAGCTTTATGGCAATTAGTGTGCCAGAATGAAAAACAGCTGATTAAATTAATAGAGCAATTTCCAGAGTCTTTTTTTACTACTGAGTATCAGCAGAACCAGAAGGCAAACATACTGTTTTTTCAAGAGCTGGGACTTAAGAATAATATAATCACCAGGTTCTTGACGAGTGCACCCAATATTTTCTATAGTCCTGTTGAGAAAAACAAAAATGTGATAGAGACATTACAAAGAAATTATTTAAATTTGGGGGGTTCTGAAGCAAATATGAAGATCTGGATACTGAAGCTATTGAGCCAAAATCCATTTATTTTATTAAATACTTCCACTGCAATCCAGGAGAACTTGGAATTTCTCCAAAAGAATGATTTCACTGACCAGGAAGTTCTACAGCTGCTGTCCAAACTTAAAGGTTTCATTTTTCAACTTAATTCTACCACTATGCAGAAGAGTATGCTTTTCTCCAAAAACATCTTCAAGTGCAGTGATCAAGAACTAAAACAACTAGTGCTGAAATGCCCGGCCCTTCTCTACTATTCTGTTCCAGTTTTGGAAGAAAGACTTGAAGGACTGCTGAAGGAAGGAATTTCTATAGCACAGATAAGAGAGACACCAATGGTGCTGGAACTGACAACACAAATCGTTCAGTACCGAATTAAAAAGCTCTCTGCGTTGGGGTATGATATAAAGAGTGGAAATCTAGAAAGTTTGAATGGTACTAAAAAAGACTTTGAAGTCACTTATGGTAAGATACAATCAAAGAAGGAGAGACCAATTTTTAATCCTGTTGCTCCTCTACACATTGAAGATTAATTTGAACGCTGTACTTCAAGTTATGCAACAGCAAATTAAAAGGGAAATTAATTCTTTGAAGAGAGGGAGCAAAAGCAATCTTAATCAAAACTGTAGTCTTACACTGTACTTTGTTCAGGAGGGGGGTCTTAGGTACAACTTCATTATACAATCATAGTATTGTAATACTTTAAAATATCATCATAGAAGTTACAGTTATGATAAAGGTTGCCTTTTTCTAAGAGTACCTCAGATGTGACATTTTCTTACCTGACAGGGCATTAACTGCCTTAGATTTTCAGCTCTGCCACTCACAGTCCAGTCTGTGGTAGTGATTAGCACAGTTTTTATCTGAGGAAGACAAAAGGAGGATTATTTTTCCAGCACTGTTCATCAGTCGGCTGGTTCGCTGTCTTCAGGAAACACCCTTGGAGTTCTTTTCTTTATTGCTGAAGTGGCTCTTGCTCCTGGATCCTGACCTGCAACAAACTCCATTTCTTGGACAGCAAAGCCCTGTCCTAACAGGGGCTGGACATAATATTATTTTATTCATTGAAACCCTAGTATCTTTGTGTACAAACCATAATGCAAAGAAACTACAAGACGATAACCTTTATATTTCCGAGACTTCAAAATTTACTTATTTTTTCAAATTGTTTGTGAGAGGAAGAAATACATTTATTGCTATTGTATAGTTCTTAATCTCTTCTAGCAAGGTTTAGCAACAAGAAAGATTAGGGAGAGACTCAAGTCTCAAATGATGGTAGGAGAAAAGTCATGCTTTTCTACTAGGTGCAACAAAACTCTAGTCTGTAAACTACTGGTGGTTGAACATGACTACCAGATTTGCAAACAGCTGCAACAGTTTCTAAATATATGGGTGACACTGCTTCTAAGATAACACCATATGACAATTGGTAACAAGTGCTGGCTTTCAAAATAGCAACTATCAGACAGCGTTTAATTCTCAGGGGATTTGATTTCTTCTCATTTATGGGCTGTGAATGATAATATAAAACAGTAGCATCACTGACAATCATCTCAATAGGATTAGGATCAGTGATTTTGTTTCGCAGACTTTCCTAAGCAGCTATTCCACACACATTCCCTCTTGACAGCCAGCTACACACCACCCTCCCTCCAGGCATTCTTCAAGGTCATTTTTATCAGACATTTTGGCAGCAAGTCTGGGCCTCCGTTTCTTAAAATGCGGTTTGTAATTGCTGAAGGAAGCTGGTATTGAATTACTGGTCTGGAGGGTGGGCTGCAAGATGATGCTTTTTTATAGTCTGCCACGTTGTCTGCTGTACACTGGGGAGGGGCTGGGAACACCTGGTAGGAGCAGTGCAAAGATGCCAACAGCTGAAGGTCTGACACCGAGCTCTCTGCAGGCATTTCTGGGGGGAAATGCCGCTCCCGCAGAGGCTCAAGAACGGGACACATCACAGCACGAAGAAAGTCAGGCTGTGGTGCCAGGCTCTGTCTATGCTGACTCTTTCAAAATTCGTTGTTTTTTAAGAGGAAACTAGGAAGATAGCTGTATTAAAAATTCACAGAACTTGCCTTTGTCACTTTCTGACTGTCTTTCTCTGCTCAGCCATTAAGCAGACCACAATTTTATCTAAATTTAAAAGCCTCCTTCCCTTCAGACACAAAGGGGCATTTCAGCTCTCCAAAGCTCTTCTAACACAACCTGTAACTGAGCCAGAGACCTGATTGGTAACTTAGGAGGAAATGGAAACCAAGACATGCAACAGTGTTTTCTCTTAATATTTAGTTTTAGCATTTCTACAGGTACCTGTTTTTACAAAGTTCTTGAAACAACTTATTCCCATCACTTAAATTATTTCCTGTGGCAACAGAACAGGAAAAGGATGTATTTCCTTAATGAAGTCACAGCCTGAGTTACCACAAACTCATTTTGCATTCTGAATCTTTCAATTTCTTTTCCCCTTTCAAGATAAAAGCATTTGCTGGAATGCTCTTCTTCTCTACTACCAGATGAGAATTCAGTCAATCCTTCATTCCTAACTCTGTCCTGGGACCTGTTTCTCTATTCTTCACAGGATTCATTTACAATAAATAAAACCTCAGGAAATTCCCAGTCACCAAAACACTGTATTGCTGAAATCCTCGTCCTTTGTTACTCAGAGTGACTGTGGACCAGCCTGTGAGTATGCCTTTCACTACCTAGAGAGCAGTCAGGCATACAGGCTGCCTTCAAAAACATTTCCCCTTTTGGAACAGGGACTGGGAAAAGCAAAGTGAAATAAAGCTACCACAAAAACAATCCCAAGACAAAAGAACCACCTCACTCCCCCAGATGTCAGTTCCATATTCCATTCAACTCACTATGATCTTAAAACTGGACATTCCCAAGCATCATTGATCAGGGGGAAAGAAAATTGGTGCAAAGGATTTTGTGCTGTGTCTGTGCATAGCTTACACACTGAAGTTACAGCTTTTGCTAAGAGCTGGTTGGTGCTAAGTATAGACACAAACAGAAGACACTCTGGATCATGGTACTGTGGGAAGATTTATACCTAAGTATGCCTTTCGCCACAAAACTAAGGAAGCTTTCAAATGTCTGAAACAGCAACAATTTAATGTTTCACAGGTGCCAGGACAGAACTGGAACAAGATTTTAAGATTAAGCAAGTTTCATAAGTGAATAGAAAACACACAGGATACAGGACAAAGCTCTTTGAAAACTAAATCCATACGCCATGTAAAAGTTTCAGTTTACAAGACTCAAAATAATAGCTACAGGATATGTTAAGAACAAAACATAATGGAGTGTTGGCAACTCCTTACATACCTAACATTGCTTATCTCAGACCACACTTATTTTGCTGCAAGTTTCATAGTTTAAAATTAAAAAAATTAATAAAAAATGGGTATGACCAGTTCAACATTCCCACTTACAGAAAAACTAATAGGAAGAGTTTGGTTGAGTGTCACCTGTGCTCCAAACAGGTGACTCCTAAAGAGTTCAGTGGCAGCACTTGGGGGATATTGCTACACTGGAAATTGCAGGGGAGCAGACCATACTAAATTACATGCTGCAGCAAAACTGCCTCTGATATCCAGGCTAGCTCATTTCTAGAGCTAACTGATACCTCTAAACAATACTATATGCTATGCAACTTGCTTTTGACTATAAAATGGTTAAAGTCTTCCATTTGTTGCATCAACTTACCTCATCACACCCTTGCAGCAGATCAGAACCAAGCAGCTGTGTATCTAACCGAAGGAGCAGATGTCTTTTTTTGGGTTTTTGCTCTCCCCACCACCCCAAGTTCCATGCTTTCAAGTATCATGCTTCCAACATATACGATTTCTGATATAAAATAAAATTGTCACAGAGTGCCAATGGCTCAGAGAGATTGCATGACTACAGTACCATAATTGAGACAAGATGTACTTTCAACAACCATGAACAGAGGAATAAGTTTGACAAGTGATATGTTTTGGGTTTTTCTCATTTTTAAAAAGTCCCCCCCAGATAACCACCTAGTGCAACTACAGCCACTGAAAAAATAAGCATACAAGTTCTCCATAGAAACAAAAGTTTTTAGAAAATACTGCATACACACCATGAACAGATGCCTCCCATGGGCTTCAAAAGAGATTACTTATTTTCAAAATCAGTACACAAATAAAGGATCACAAATAGTTTCTATTTTAAGGCAACCTCACGCTGTGTCATTACAAGTGCATTTTGCCTCACACGCTGCAAAATGTGTTCCCATTTGAGGTGTTAACATTTGGAATCTGTCAGTATACAAATTACTTGAATCAAGTTGCCTTCTTTTTTTTTTAAGGCCTCATCTACTGTTTTTGGTTTGTTTTAAATAAAAGTATTGCATTTCACTCAAAAATCAAGGTGAAAAGTACAAGAAATGTAGTGAAAATTTCCTTGCATTTGCTTAAACAGAGCAAAAAGCTAACCTGGTGTATCACGGAGTTGAGAGAACAGCTTTGCTAGTTCTTCAGTGGTTTCCAGCTACACAAGAATTCCTAGCAACTTAGACAGCTGTGCTAGATGACCACAAACATCAGCCCATTTTCCACAGGCTGTCATTTTTTCTAGTGTCTATAAGAAGTTTATTTGAAGCAAGTTCTCACTTGCAGGAGATAGATGCATCTTATTAAATACACCTGAGATGAAGCAATCATGTTTTCAGTAAAAACTGAGAAAGTTTCAGATATCAGGATTTATAAAGAGCCTAAAGCTCATTCTGTAAACTGCACTGAAACAACAGGACAGTTCTTTACACAGCTTCACCTAGTAAAGAGAGATTTTCTTCTAGTAAGGAGTTATTTTACTCTTTATGATCCTTTCCACCACATTGTTAAACTTTTTCACTTCTATCTCCCATTCTCATTTCCAATTTCTGCACAGCTCCAGGCTCTTTGCTCCAGTCTTCACTGGCAGAATGCAGTCAGGGATAGTTTACAGGCTGCCTGCAAGTACAGGTTCATAACCAAGACTGGGTACGTCCAACAGTGCTTTCACACAGCTGAAGGATACTTAGCAGGAGGGTGTGGAAACCACTGAGAACAATAATTGTCATCTCGTATCAATGGCATCACAGAGACTACCGAGTTTCTACATTCACATTTTAGTCCAAAACTGCAGAAGATGTACAGTAAATGACTATTCAAATATGTATTATTCCTTCAGATACACTCACTTCTATAGTTATCAAGTGTAACATTTCACCAGATACAAAGCTTCAATCTAGGCTCTATTAAATCCTCATATGCTGTGCTAGCCAAGCTTCTTCTGTCCTTTTCAGATGAAATTGAGTTACTTGCACAGTTACTTGTTAGAAGATAAAGTGTCTAAGACACATGGCTTCTCATGGTCCCAATCTTAGCAGATTTTAATGTCACTGATGCAATATTCTGGAGAATTCAGTATGTCTCAGTTTTGGTTTTAGTCAGACTTGTCCTTTTTCTTTCCTGTTAAAGGCACTTTACTTGCAACAGCAGATCCTACAGCTGTAACGCCTCCAGCTACAGCAGAAACACTTCCTTTGACTAGACCCACTCCCACGGAAGGCACAGATGTGACTGCTGTTTTGGTAATTTCCAAGCTCTTCCCTCCGATCCAAGCAACGCCCCCAATCGTGGCACCAACAGCTCCCTTTGTGACACTGAAGAGGCCACCAGTCACACGAGAAAGCATGCCAGCCTGCTGCTGCGGGTGGTCTTTGAGTGATCCTAGGAGAAGAAACAACAAGCAAATCAATCTCAGCACCAGCATTTATGCATTTTCAAAAAAGTGTTACTCAAAAGTATTTCCTTTTCTAGCCTAGCAGCCATTGCACACAGTCTATACTTACCTTGCAGGCTGCTTTTCTTGGATGCTCATACACCTAGTTCCAAATAACAAACAACAGGGAAACCAAGAAAAGAGCAAGTGGAACCACAGTGGGCAGAGTTAGGGAATAAACAGACATGAAATAAAGAGGTGAGGGAGTCAGGAGCAGAAATAACATGCTTGGAGGAGGACAACTACTGTAGGAGGCAGCAGGAAAGAAAAAAAAAACAGCTCTGCATGCATGGGAGACCTCTGTCCAGCCCTGCCAACACACTGACTTTCCACTGCAACACGCCTTAGGAGAACCAGCAGAACAGAGCCCTCACTGCCCACAGCTTGCATCCAGAGCACAGATTCCAAGAGTCATGTCCCAGCACTTGTCTGCTACAAGATGAAAACCAGGGTGAGCAACTTTCCATGCACTGCCAGTACGTTTGTGATAATGCCAAAACTGACCTAGGACTCAGAATTCATTAAAAAACTGTAAAGGTCAGAGTTCCAATGTGCATGCCTGGAATAACTCAAGCAAAAGATGCTGCCTAAATAAGAGAATTTTCTACAAAGTTGATAAAAAAGGAAAACAAGGATACAGAATAGTGAAGCCCAAAGGAGTTAAAGATATTGGAAGTCCTTCCAGCTCACACTAGTATCCTAATTAAGAAATTGATATAGATTATAGAAAGGGTAATGGAAACTGAAAACATAAACAACAGCCTTTTACTTAAAGCCAAGTAATACTCCTGCTGGTTAATTCTAGGCCAGCAGCTTTCAACATGGACATCTCCAGCAAAAATGCATTGCCAACACCAACACACAGAGATCAGAATTTCTATTTACATACAGAAGTCTTTAAAGCATCACACTCAGAAAGAAGTATGTGGAGTCTGCCATAAAATCCAATGCCTAGGGTTTATTCACTAGAGAATTCTTGTGACCAGACTAATAGAATTTGTAACAAATTTTGTCAGAAACTGTTTCACTTCCACTTAACTGGTTCAGTATCATCAGGGTGAAATAGGCATAAATTTCATCCCACTGAATTTTAAGAGCTGATTTCACTGCATCAGAACTGATGTAAGCAAGAAATGATCCATCATAACTAACATTAAAAATAGTAAGAGAAACAAACAAATGTAATATCTATGTATTTATCTTTACCTTACTTCAGAGGTAGCCAGTCCATTGACATCTACTCTATTTCACAGGTGTAAATACAGAAAGTGATGGTGTGTGTGTAAGTAACTTCTGGTAATGGCTGGCACATTCCATTTCCATCCTATCTGCACTGTCCATGGGCTCTAGCAAACACCCAGCACTGCAGAGTTTAATTCCCAGTTGACTTCTGCTTTAGGACACACATCCTTTTTTCTAAAGTGTGTTTCCAAAGACTACCAGATCATGCCTAAATCTAAGGAGACTGGCTCAGTCACACAGACATGGTGCTGATAATACAGAAGCTGTGAGCTGACCCCCCAAGGGCCCTCCACTAATAGTTGGGCTCGATGATCCTTCTGGGTGCTTTCCAACTCAGAATATTCTGTGATTTATGGAGCACTGAGAAAATGACACAAGTTCCCTATCAGGAGCTGGCTCTACCAGGCCACTTTGCAGCCAGCTTCCCACTGAAAGGAATCCAAGAATGAACAAGAGTTTGAATGAACGTAGGTTGCAAAGGTTGGCGCAGCTCACAAGGCAGAAAATACAGCATTAGAATAGCACTACTCAGAAAAAGCAGGAGCACAAAAGCTTCTTCTACACATTCTTTAAAGCCTTTGGGCACCAAGCTTGTTGAGCATGATTTGAACAACCCAGAACTATTTCTGTCTTTAGGAAAAATTGCAAATTGGTTTTGGAATTGAGACCTTTCTCTAAGGAGTGTTTGGCAGCCTGTTCAGAGAGATGATTTTGCCAGCATTGAACTGGTATCCTTCCATTCACATTTGGCTATTTTTCTATGATGGTGTTAGTGTATCACATATAAAGCCTTGTACACCATTCCAAATGGGGTTGTTTTCCAAGGGTATTCCAATTTTTTAACTAAACTTGTAAGGCTTGAAGAGACACATGAATCAGAACCAAAAGGGAAAAGCCTCTTCAAGGACAGAGTTTACGCTAAGATGAGCTGTGCTTCATTCTACTCCCTCTAACTACACCAATTTTCTCCATCTCTTTAGAATTCATATTCAAACTAGTTATTGTCATACTGAAAGAAAATAATGTGCAGAAAAAAATAAGTTTTAGCTGCTCCCAGATTTTAAATAAAACTTTGGAATAACCAGTGATGATCAAATTCTGCTGTTGTGCTCTGAATCTGGAAAACCTTGTGAATATTCTAGGAGGATAAAAAATGCCCACTTGTTTCACTGCCCTACTCAATAAAGAATTGGTTCTACTTTTCAGACTACTGTTCACTTTCTATACATGATGTTTAACATGTATCAAACACAATTAAACCTCTAAGGCAAATAAGCCCCTAACAATTAAGCAAGCAAACCCAGTCTTAAAAATCAGACTTGAAGATAACATTTAGGTGTGGTTTCCAATCAGGCATTTGCTATCAGAAATGCTTCTGGGATCTTAATATCAAAAGCACAAGGTTTTTTTGTCCTCACACCATGCTACTATAACAAGTATAACAGCTGAAGAATTACTGTGCCATGAAAACCTATTTTTCCCTTTCCTCTCATCTTCTTCTACTCGTGTTTCTTGCCTAATAGTTGTTAAGAATAGAGTGAACTACTCTACTTCAATCCTTTCTGCTACAGTTAGTGGATAATCCTGTTGTTCAAATGAAGTAAATTGTTCAGTTACACAACATAAAAAAGCTGAGGTAAAAAAAAAACCCAGACCAACAAAGAGAACTTTAAAGGGCCATTATAAACTGGAGAGCAATGAACTGCAAGGAATCATGACTCACCGACCTCTACATCCAACACATTTGGTTTTAAAGTGAGAGCAGACAGAACACACATAAGAACGTGGTTTTTTACATGCCAAGAATGGCTTTTGATCTAGTATATTTCCAATCACATTATGCAAACAGGACTCTGCTCAATCCTGCCAGTCCACAGCTTAGAAGAAACTCTGCTCATTTGTAACTGCATTTCCTCTGCAGATCTAATAATCAATTTAATATTCAGTTGGTTCAGGAGACCACAATGTCACTGCATTAACGAAGTCAAGTGTGTGCTTGATTTTATGAAACCATGAGATTGTGAACAGTTGGAACCACTGTTAATTGTATGATGGAAAACAGTCTCCAGAAGCAGTAATGAAGTTCTATATATTTTTTAATGCATCTTGCATAAAAGTCACATGCACTATGAACCTAGCAACACGTCCAAAAATGAAGCCAGGCTCTTTACATCTCACATAGTAAATAGCAGAAATAAATGCCCATTAGATCAATTCATACCTCTGCAAACTAATCTGCAAATTAAGTCCTTCAGTAACTGCCCATCTTCTCTATAATTTATAGGTACAGTTGTTTACTCTGTTATATTCAGTGGCCTTTTTGTAATCAGGATAATGCAGAAGTGAACAATAATCCAGGCCCATCTCATCCCAGGGTTGGTTTGTTTACTGTTATGTAAAAGAAAGTTGAAGTGTTCAGTTTGCAGATCCATTTTTAGAGAGAACTGATTCATTTACTTCCCATCATGAAAACTAATACATACCTTCTGGTGGTTCATCATGAACGTATGATGGGACTTCCTGCTGATTTTTGTCCGTTTGATTCATTATTGCCTAAAAAAAGAAATTCACATGTGCTATTCATCTTTTCTGGCAAAGCATAAACGTAATTCATGAATCCAAAACTCAAGTAGATTAAGTTCCACAAACAAAACTTCTTTTTCATTATTAGACAAGCTAGCAGGTCCTGTCAAATTGCTGGTATTTTTATTATCATACTGTGCTTTTGCATTCTTCAACCAGACTCAATACTTAAAAAAGGAGCTCTCCACCACATCAGCAGGCTTGGTGAGAGCTGCCACACCACACCAAGTGCATCTCAAAAAGCAATCAGGAAGACAACAAGTAGGAAAACAAAACAGCTGCTGCCATACAAGAGCTTATGTTTAAGTAGTGAAAAAAAAAAATCCTAGTGATCATAGAGGTGATGGCCACTAGAGAAACAACAGCAGCATGCCTGTGAGATCTGCTAGAGCTTGGAAAGCTGTTTAAAAATACTAAGTCCTTGCAGCATAATTTGACCAAATGCCACAAAAACAATATGGAAGAAAAGCAACAGAAACAAATTATTTATCTTGACACAGAACTGTATAAATGGTGTGGTGATAAGAGCAGATCTAAACTGTTTTAACTCTATACAAACGCTCCAATGGAAACATTTCATGGAAGATTTCTTTACATAAGCTGTTTCCTAGAGCAGTTCCAGACAAGCAGTCCCTGACAGGGAAGCATAAAAGAAAGCTCAGTCAGCAGCTCTGCTTAGAGATTTTTTTCTCTGGAAGGGAAGAAAGTAATAACCAGTCCAGGTTTCCTTCCTGCTTTCCTCCCCCACCAAAGCATGCCTTGATATGAAGTCCTGCCTCCTCCCCCGAGTCCTCCTGCTAATCTTGCTTTCCCTCCTCAGCAAGCACCAAGGTCAGAAAAAGGAAAAACAAGTCGCATTACACCAGTCAGCACACTTCTCTTTCTGCAGTGATCTCTTAGTCCCCTTCCCTCTGCACAAGTCTTTAAATCATTTAATTTCTTCCAAGAGTCAACAAGCACTACAAAAATAATTCATGCTTCTCTTGCCGTGCCCAGATCTCTTTGTACATGCTCTGGGTGAGAAAGCAGTGGCTGGGATCTGAAGAAGGAATGTGGAGGCAGAAGCAGGTGGGAAGACTCATCTGGAAAACAAGAGCTAAAACCCTCACAGTATTATTATGAAGTTAAAACATCACACTAAAAACTGGCACCCACATACATAAATCATAGACATTTGGATGAGAAGTAAGCCTAAATTGAATATTAAAGAGTCCTCCCAATCAGCACTAAGGGTATCAGTTCAGGGCTCAGAAAACACAAAAAGCTGAACATGAAAGCAAGTAAAAACACCTATTACCAGGATGGCCAGTTTGATGGAAATGCTGAACAAGTGCCACGAAAAAAAACAGAAATGCAAACATGTCAGCTAAGAAATAGGAAAGGATCATGTGACATCCCAAGCTGAGAGGAAACCCCAAGGATCACTGAAGTCCAACTCCTGGTCCTGCAAGGAGAGCCTCAAGAATCACACCATGTACCTGAGAGCATTGTCCAAACACTTCTTAAGCTCTGCCAGGCTGGTGCTGTGACCTCTTCCCCGGAGAGCTGTTCCAGTACCTAACCACACTCTGGGGGAGCCTTTTCCTAACATCCACCCTAAACTTCCTTTAAACAGCTTTATGCCATTCCCTTGGGTCCTGTCACTCGTCACCAGAGGGAAGAGATCAGTGTCTGCCCACCTGCTTCCACTCATGAGGAAGTTGTAGAGCAACAACACATCAAGATGGAAGACTAAAACACATGAGGACTAAATGACAATTTAAAAAACTATCAATTATAGAACTCCTTGTTATTTTATTTAATCACAAATAAGAGGAAAAAAATTAAGAAAAAAATAACTTGACCAATCACAGGGAGCAACTGAGGACAATCAGGTTCTGAGAAAAGACCTGATTCAGATACTACGTGACTCCCTCGCATTCATCTAATGCAAGCTGAAAGAAATACAATATTCATCCTCACTATGTAAAGGTCCATGTAGATTTGTTGCTTTTTTCCAACTTGAAATAACATAAAGCACTGTAACAAAGGGTAGACAGAAGAAACTGACAGGCCTGATATAATTCAATCAACATATCTGTATCAAGATGAAGCAACTATGTTCCTAATTAATGTCTGGCCATTTTGGTCATGAAGATGATTACCAGGAATGTCAAAGGAGTTTAACCACTGCCTTAGGGAAAGTCCCAAAAAGAGTAAAATAAAAGTCAGAACCTAGCAAGTCTTAATTCAAACAAAGGAATGAAAAAGTGATCAAAACAGTTTTAAAGCAGACTCAAGACAAATGAGTAAAGCCAGAGGTAAATTATTTTTTATAAAGAACTACCTCCATAAATTTATTTGTATCTAGACAGCACACAACTCCTAAAAGAACACCAGATAAAATTGCTTGTTTGAGCTTCCAAACTGTTTCTGTCAACAATCCCACATAAGAGATTCAGAAAAGTTATTTAATCTTAAGAGGACAGAGAAAACTGTCAGGGGTATCAAAAAGTTTAGAGTAAGTTACCAGTTTCAGACATAGGTAGAACACTAGAAGCCATCACAAGACTTCACACAAGGTTTAGTATTTTCTGCTATTAAGAATGTACTGAACACAGCAACAGTAACAGCAGATACAGCCCAGATGAAGCTCTTACAATCTGTTTTACATGACAAAATACCAGTATTTAATTAAGATAAGATTTGTCCAATAGGAAGAGTTAGAGTAAAACTGGCAGACAAAACAGGTAAGGGATGCTTTCAAAACTGTCCACAGTCTGGTTTAGACTGCCAGATTTAGTTTCAGTTCCTGCAAAACTAAATGAGCAAAGCAATGTATTGGCAGGGGAATTTCACAGCAGAGTTTCTGGTCTAGTTTACAAGTACAGTAGAAAAAAAATAGCAGCACATATAAAATCACAGCACTATATACAAAAAGTGGTTCAGATTAGGCATTCCTTCCCATTACCTGTCCTAGAACCTCAAGGTCACATGACTGTTGATCCCAAGCTTTTTTTTAGAAGTTAAACAGAAATGCTTCACTCGCTTGCACCTGGACAGACTCCAGTGGTCTTTCTTTAGGCACTGGCAACCTGCTGCTATCAGGCCCCAGAATCAACGCAGAACTATGCACACTGAGAACAGCACGATCCCAAGCTTTTCTTTAGAAGTTAAACAGAAATGCTTCACTCACTTGCACCTGGACAGACCCAGTGGTCTTTCTTCAGGCACTCTCAACCTGCTGCTATCAGGCCCCAGAATCAACGCAGAACTATGCACACTGAGAACAGCAGCCAAGGCAAGTAAGTCACTGTTAGTAGGACTGAATTTGCTCTACACAGAAGAGAGCCTTCAGGGGTTTGCAGAGCAGAAAGTTGACTACTGCTGTATGATGGGTGGTTCTACAGGTGCCTGGAAGCACTCCAGGGATGCTAGGTGCATGGCTGAACAGGATGATCCTGAAAATCTCTTCCAACTTTGATGATTCCATGATGCTGCAAGAGATGTGCCCAACCAGCCTGTACTAAGTTTTACTCACAGTTCTGTGATATCAGGGCAAGTGAAAACAGAATCACACCACTGTCAGGAAAGTCTCAGAGCCTGACCCAAAACACAACTTGGCACACAAGATTTCATAAAGCACAATTCACATCCTTTTGCTTTTCTGTAGAAGCTCTCCAGAGAATCCCAGAATCAAAACCAAGATCCAACAGAGGACTTCTACAGAAAATTTTCAAATATCTACTTTACAGTTTGCATTATGCATCCTTATATCCAATTTAATACCTCAGGAGACTTGAAAGATTCTGAAAAGTGATGCAAAAACGCTGTGTACTAAACAGGGTGCAGCATATCTGGTGAACAGGATATGCACAGGAGCATGTTTTAAATGGCTCCCTTCCAGAGATTTAAGGTGAGTATTTCTATTGACTGGAGGTCAAAGGCCTGGCAGATTACTTCATCCAGTCTTCAGAGCAAAAGGGCAGAAACACAACTTTTTTCTTTTCACAAAAACTGGAGATAGAAAAACAGAAACCACTCACTACATTTTACATAATACCATGGAGGTAAAAGCACTCACTGCCTCCTTTGTCTATTAAGATCTAGGCTTCTATGGCCTGCTTTGCATCAAAGTCCCCCAGTCACCAGACTGCAGTGTATCCTAAGGGAGGGTCCCGTTCAAGTGTTCCCCTGAAGATACATCCCCAGGAAGAAGAGAAAGCAAAGTTCATGAGATCCAACAGAGATTCAACTGAAACCGAAGGCAGAGACCTAGAGATGCAAGTGTAAGGCTTTTGTGCAGAGTTAAGTCATTCAGACATGCTACAGGTTAAGGAACTTTGGAAACTTGGAAGCTGCTGATTCAAAGTCCCCACTATGCGCTGAATCATTAGTTACAATGATTACCAGCACTGCAGACGTATGCAACAAGGCAAAGATTTATCAGAAACCCGAACTTTGGAACTCTTCTCATAAGTTTTCAGAATCTTCTTCAAAGTACACTAAGACTGGCCAAAGAAAAAGAGAAGAAGAAAGCAAGCAAAGAGATCCTTCTTCTGCATTTTCATCCTGTCATGCCAAATTCACTTGTGTCACTGCAGAAAAGCCTCCAGCTTCATTTAACATGTTCATTGAATGATGACATGGAATCAGGCAGGATCTCTATGAGGCCCAGAAAAATTCACAGGGACATTGATGAAGCAGGAATCTATCGTATCACACTCCAGTTCCCTTCTTCATCTGTGTTTTCGCATGTCAAGAAGTGGAAGCAAATCCAGATCTTAGAACAGGGATAAATGTAAACTACTTCTGGGTTTTTTCCCCTGTGTGCTTATGAAGATGCTGTCTATTTTCTATTCATTCAAGAGATATCGGATAACTTCTCATCTTTCTTAAAATAAATTGTAGCTTTCATACAAAAAAAAATTTAAAAATAAAGATGGAAGTCACTCAACTATTTGAAAGGAAATACACTTCCATATTGTCAGAATATGAAATAGGAAATACATAGAAAGCTTAAATGTTTTACACTGTGGCTAAAAAAAAAAAAAAAAGGAAATTGTTTAGAAGAGGGTTTTTAATTCAAGACCTATTTGTAACATTAACAGTGCTTAAGATCTTAGATGAAAGTGCCAAGAAGCTCTAGAAGTAACGCCATAGCCACATGTACATTCACATTGAAATAAAACTTACTGATTGAAATAAAACTTACTCACCAAATATATTCCTTTGTGAAGGCTTCTAGCTAGTTGTTTCCACTAAAGTATTCTGCAGACACCTATAAGAAAGGCAGAACGTTAATGAGCTCTTAGGGACCAGTGACTGTCACATACCTGCCATGGGTGTACAGTGGGAATCAGGAATACAAATCCCCACAGTATGGAAGAAGCACACTTGACACAGCCTTAAGATGCCCTATTTTTAGAGATTTGTCACCAAGACACCAATTCCTCCTGGGCATTGAAGATAATTTTACTTGCTCCATGTGCTGCCCTGAGGATTGCTATGAGGCACAATAATCCATATTAAGACACAAATGCTCCTTAATGAGCCTGCAGTTCTTGGACAGTAATTTGTGTAAAGTTTTAGCCTTCCCTTGAGAAGTGGGCTCTAACCATTATGGATGTGTGTGATTTCCTGAGTTTCAGAGGATGCTCTTGGTGTCTTTCTGACTTTAGAGACAAAAAGCCCTTCTGTCTCAGCACAGCAAACCTGGCCCAAGCAGCAGCCAGTGAAAACTGGCTTGTTTCAATGCCACTACTCAGATATTTGTGGGTAGCAATGAAACAGCCCAAGGATGGGGCCAATTTCAGCTGGCAGCTTAATGCTGCTCCAGACAGCTGCAGCAGCAGCAGCCAGTGCTGGAACTTCCATCTGACAGAGCTGCAAACAAACCCATCCACCACAAAAGAAGTTATCATCCTTCTGGCTACCAGCTATGCAGGTAGAAAGCCTGGCTGCAGAGCTGATGGAAAACAAACAACCCTTGCCACATGAACAGCTCTTCTTTTACCTCTTTCAGCAGCTGCAGCAGATTTCTGAATGAACCTGATGTATTTCACATACAGGGAAAAAATATATTTTTAGGTATGATAGTTTAAGAATTAAATTTTTGGAAGAGAAACAGTCTCTACTCTCCAAATTAAACAAGGAAATAATCATGAAGCCAAAAAAGATAATCCCACCTATGGCTGCTCTTCAGGGTACTGCTCCCAGCTGCACAAGCAACCCCTCACTATCAGCTTCACTGCCTTACTCCCTGGATTAGGACTTGTAACGAGTCACAGGCAATTGTTCTCAGTGCTCTTAGTTCTCTCACACATAACCCCCAGAGCACGGCCAACACAGAAATGTCTGTTTCAGTCTGTTACTGCAAGGGAGAGAGCTGACTGAGCTTCTGCAAGAAGAGTCAGTGCTAGCAGCACTAAAGTACAAAAACAAATCTGGGCATGTAGAAAGCATGTAGGTAAAAACTAAGAGCACAGCTAGTATTTCAAGAAGGCTTCAGTTTAAAACTCAAGTTTCAAAATTCAGATTTATATACAAAGCAAGACTGGCTTGGAAGCAAGCGTGCTATGAAAGAGACTGCATTTTCAAGTAAAGACCACAAGAAGTTCATCAGAAGTTTCTAGGTGTGAACCACAACTTACTTCCAAGCCTACAGCAGGATGTGCTACAACTTCCTCCAAAAGAAGTTGCTGAAAGTAATGTGCATAACAGGCTCACAGGATGCAGGGAACTGAACACAGCTGGGAAGGTAATGTAACATATCTGTGTTAAAAACCAAACACACACCACAATTAAAAGCAAAAGAGAGGTATCATATCCCCTGAAAAAAAAACCCCTCAACTCTGCCCAGGACATTACTATATCAGAATGCACCATTTCTCCATCACTGTTAACCAAAATATAGATCAGGGTCCAGAAGAGGCTCTGTGGAACACCTGATGTGTTTTCTCTGCTGCAATGATTTACAAGATAGAAAATCACAGGTGGCATGAACCAGAATTCTCCTTTTCTAGTTCTCCAAAACTGGTTCCTAAGAAGTACATGGTAAATTCCAGTAAGGTGCACAGCACAGCATCAAAAAGACCACGAAAACTCCATTTTACCAGTTTTGTCATCCTCTGCCTCCTCCTAGCTCAGTTTTCAGAAGAGCCTCCCCATTTCTTTTAACACTTTTCTAAAGCCTGAGCTCCAGATCAGTCTTGGATCTCCTTTTCCAGAAGCCCCTCAAAGACAAAACCTGACTGTGCCTAACAGCCAGTGGTAAAGCAGCTTCTGAACTTCCTTGCTACCTCTGCTGGATGCTAGGGAAAAGATATAGTCTTTTCCCTAGCATCCACCACCTGTTTGTTGGCTCCTACCTGACATTTAGACCTGGTCACTTGCTGGACAAGGAAAACTTTTCAGTTTGCAACACTGTCTATTTCTACACTGAGGAGGCAATACTAACTTTTCTGAATATTTAACCACAGTTTAACAGAAAGATTTACATGATATACTGAATAATATTTACTGAGCAGTCTTAAAACCGTTGTGCATACAAACCAGTACCTACATATTAAATTAAGCAATCTTGTATGTACCCCTCCAATTATTCAGGGGCATTCTGCCTGAAGCAGCACAGTGGACACACTAAAACAAGTTATATGCACTTGATATTTACATTCCTTATGGAGGGACATCCTGATTTAGAGTTCTCATTTTCACCCCAATGCAATTTTCACCCCAATTCAATGAGCAGAAGGAAGCATTTAATTGCATCCACAGAGGCTGTCTCTGCAGTTCATACAATAAACAGAACCAGGCATACAGCTAAATCAACTTGCCTTCATCTCCAGGCCACACCAAATAAACGCCTAGGCTAGGTGAAGGTGAAAAGCTAAGCCAGTCCCAAGCAGCTCACAAAAAACCTCTTCATACGCTACTCCATCAAGCTGGACTCGAGAGACATGGATGAAACAAAGAGCACCTTACTACAGCAAACATCCGAACACTGCAAAGTTTAAAAAGAAGAAAACCCGAAAGAAAGCTTCTACTGGGTTGGAAGAATTCTCGAGGGAGAACAAGACCATCCAGGAGCCAAGCCGAGGCGAGCACGGCTCCCTCCGCTGACCCCCTCCCAGGTGGGGAGACCGCTCCTCCGTGGGCGCCCGGCCCGGAGCGGCAGGGCAGAGCAGAGCAGCCCCCCGCCCTCGGTCCCGCAGCCGAGGAGCCGCCCCCCTTACCCTGGGCCGGCCGAACCCCGCAGTCCGCGCCGCGTCCTGGCCCCGCAGCTACCTGCGTGCCCGGCGGGGCTGCGGAGGCGGCCCGGCAGCGACCCCCGCCCGTGACCCCGGCCGGGCCGGCGCGGGCACCGCCGGCATCTCGACGCAGGGCGGCGGCACTGACGTGGCAGCCAAGGCCGCGGCGGAGCCGCTACGCCCGGCCCGGCCCAGCCCTCCCGCCCCGCGGAGCCGCGGCAGGAAGCACAAAGGCGGCGGGGCTGTGCCCGCGCCGGGGGCAGGTGGCGGCGGCTCCCCATCCCCGACCCGCCTCTCCCGCCAGCGACTCCGCCGGGGCGCGCCGGGTGCTCTCCCGCTTCCTGCCCTGGAAGTTCCCCTTCATCCGCAGCGAGGCACGGAGGGCGCTCGGGGGTTGGCCGGCTGGCGGCACGGCCGGGGGGTAGCGGCCGCTCATCCCTCGCTCACTCACCGCACAGCGCTCACGGCTCCTCGGCCCGCCCGGGCTCCGCTCAGACTTTACTCCTCCGCCCGTCCCCGCTGCCGACGTGGCGCCCGCCGCCGCCCGCCCTGCCGGCGCCCGCAGACCCCGCCCC